CTCCTGCTTCTGCTCCTGCTCCTGCTACTGCTACTGCTACTGCTACTGCTACGGCTACTGCTACTGCTACTGCTACTGCTACTGCTACTGCTACTGCTACTACTACTTCTTCTTCTTATCATTACTCATGAGAAGTACTATCATGCTCAGTAGCTTTCGCAGCTATTGCTGTTGCTGACACCGCTAGTGCGATTTTTGTTCACCTTAGCTTCAACGTTGAAAATTCACAGTTGTGCTATCATTATCAGTGCCGTATCCATGTCATCACCATCATCGTCATCAACTTCTTCATCATCCTCATATTAACCATCATGTTTATGTTAACGTTCAGCCTCGTCTTCACTGCCATCAGCTTCATCATGATCATCATCAACAACAACATCATCGTCGTCATCATCACTATCATAATAACCTTCATCATCGTCATCAGTACCATCGTTATCATTGTCATCAGCACCATCATCCTTATCCTCAGCACCATCATCACCATCATCTTCTTCTTCGTGTTTACAAGTAGCACCATCAGCATCATTAGCGTTATCCGTGTTCATGTTCACTAGTACTGGTATGGATATGAGTACGAGTTTTGGTATTGTGCTGTAGTATCACTGTATCAATATTGGTATTTCTGCCAGCACTAATACGAGTGTCCGCACTACAAATGCGAGCATTAATACAAGCCTTATGAAATATGAATATTCAATATGGTAATAATAACGGCGTGAATGTATTATTACTATTATTATTGTTAATGATTTGGGTGCCAATCTGAATCATATGATGGCTACGTAAGAGAAGGTGCTACAAATCAGGGCTTAGGTAAACTTGAAAGTGCTGAGCCCGTTAAGTTCAGTGTGGACCATGCAGGCTTGATATTGTGTGTAGGATACTGGGACAGATTCTGTAGGAAAAAAACCCAGTGCGCAAATATCCTGCTGTGGCCGGTTGTCTAGCACTTTAGGGCTGACAGTTTTCAGGACTGTCAGGTTTAGCCTGCAGAGGCCTGGTCCTTACAAACGACATGGTAAACATCAAAGAAAACCCGTCACGTGAAATACACCTATGAAAGAATAATGCTACACAAAGTCATAAAGCTGTCAGACTTTGTGCTTTGCATTTGAGCCCGTCAGTGAACTTCGGGGCCCTCTTGCTGCCAACGAGCTCTTCTGCTCGCAGGGCCCGCTCAGTTGCCTAGCAGGATTCTAAGCTTCACTACGTTTGAGGAGGCCGTGGTGTGATGCAGCCGCTTTAACCTTACCAGTCTCCATTGTAGTTCCTGTTTTTGGTTGAACCAATTATATACCGAAACCCTAAACCCTAGATTGTATAAGGTATCCCCAAAGAGGAACTACAATGGAGACTACAGGTAGAAGCGAGCCAAGGGCCGGCATAAATTCGCTGATCCCGGGGGTCCGGGCTTTTGGGCAGTCCCAGCTTCTTGGGGATCCCTTACAGGACACCCGTTTATGGAAACCCTAGGTGCCCTTATAAAGGGAACTCTATTATAAGATACCCTCAGAGGTGCGCTTGAAAAGGGAGTACAGAGAATTGACGCGACAGTTTTTGACTTGCACAGGGCCGACCGTGTGTTGCACACATGGCGTGGCAACGCTGCCTTCTGTGCAGCCCTCACCTACGCTTCGCAGTGACACTGTTCACACAACGGTTCCTCCATCTCTCTGGCTGCTTTGTCGCAGACTGTATAAGGACTTCCATGACAGGGTTGAGGTTGCGTTTGTCACATGTCACTGGGCAAAATGAGATCAAAACCCCGCGACGATCATTGCTATTGAAGCTGTTCAGCATCTCTTTGATGCTGATGGTAAGCAGGATCATCTTCTTGCAAGAGCGAATAACACATGCCGTCTCCCTGTGGCAAACACTAAACTTATTAAAAACTCACATTTGCAATTAGGGTTACCTACACATCATGCACGACCGGGCAGATTGAAGCATTCTCGGCTTATCCGCTCTCGCCTTGGGTGGAGTGTCAGGCTTGCACAGCCTGGCAGTCCTCGTCGACAGCACCTACGGTGCCCCGACCTGAATTGGCGCCTGGACAGCGCCTTAAACGAATAAATGGAACAAGGAACCGGTCAGCTAAAGGACCTTTCTGTCCCAAAAACTCATGCGGGGAGCGACCGCCTGGCCTTTCTTCACTCCTTGTCGACAGGACGCCTTGGTGCTCCAACCTGGATAGGTGGCAATGCAGCCATGGAAGGCCTTTGACTGGAGGACAGAATCGAGGGCCGAATTAAAACTCTGGGAGCGGCTTTTCGGGAAGCACCGGGTAGCTGCGCAGGAGCCTCGTGCTGCGGAGTAGTTGGTGGAAAGGCTGGGGGAGCAGTGGGTGGAGGTGCAATTCCTGGTAGTGCTGAGTAGTTAGCAAGCCCTGGAGGTCCCACTAAATCAGCTGGAGGTCCTTGTCGATGGCTTGGACCAACTTGCGCAGGCATGCCTGCAGCCCGCGCCGGGCCTTCAGCGCTTGGCAATCCCAGGCGCTCCACAGCCGCGGCAATGTGTCGACCTAGATCTAGATGCATAAGTACGTATGCAGCCTTTGTGGAGTTATACATGCTCGTGAAGGTCTTGAAGAGACTGATCAGATACAACAAATACGAAATGTCGTGCCCCAAGAGCTGGCGTCCTCCACTCTGTGGCAAGTAGACAGATGCAAAACCAAACAGTATCGACGAGGGTATTGCCTCAATCATCTTCTCTTGCATCATAATGGCAAGCAGGATATCTGTCGGCCACCCTCGCATACTGGACTCAGCAACCGCGCAGTATACTGTCTGCACATTTCCCAGCCGCCGGACCACCCGAGTTTCTTCCCACAAGGCCATGAACATGATGGCGGTTTGGAACGCAAAGAATCCGTATAGTTCCAATTCGAAGAATTTCCACGCTGCGAGTCCATCCGACACCAAATCCCAAACGAAAAGTAGCATGTCGACATGCAGCATCACATACTCTTTGAACGCGGGCTTCAGCTCCGATTTGTACATTTGATCAGACAAGTCCCTAGCCCTGTCTTCAACTCGCTGCTGCAAGTCGGGATCTGCTTCTGCAGCACCAGAGAAATCGTTTCCCACACAGAAGCACCGAGAAAGGAAACAGCATCCACAGATTCCACAGCCAGAGAAACAAAACAAAACTCCAAGAGCCATCGCGGCGGCATATGGCGCTGCACCATTTATCTCAGTAGCCGCCTGCTGTTCATCAGCATTCCGCGCAGCTTGTGCCATAATTTCGGGCGTGTAGCCGAACATGTGCATGGCCATGAACATTGGGTATACCGACAAGAACCCGCCAAGCCGCAGCAGCACTGAAATGGCTATGAACCATCTTGCTGGCCGCTGCTCCTGGGCAAGGCCAAAGGCGGAGTAGTCCCTGGGGAACATCATGTGCAGAGACAAGTCCCTCGCATCGAACGTCCAGGAAACGAAAGTACCAGACCTATGGAGGGCAGGCGCCGCCAGGAGGAGCAGCATGACGATCGACAGGCCTCAAGTTTATCCGACGGCTTGCATGTTGCAAGTTCGTTCAACGGGTTGTAGAGGCAAACCAATACCAAAACTGGGGTTGCCGTTTGTTCTGTCTTTGTACTGTTCCTTAATGGCTTTCAGGTAGTAGTAGTTGTCGTCGTCGTGGTAGTAGTCGTAGTAGCAGTGGTAATCATAGTGGTGGTAGTAGTAGTAGTAGTAGTAGTAGTAGTAGTAGTGGTAGTAGTAGTAGTAGTAGTAGTAGTAGTAGTAGTAGTAGTATAGTAGTTGTAGTAGTAGTAGTAGTAGTAGTAGCAGCCGTAACAACAGTAGTACTACTTAGTAGTAGTGGTCGTCGTCGTCGTTGTAGAAGCAGTAGAAGAAGTGTTGATGGTGTTCATCGTCGAATAACAACAGTACTGGTCATAGTCAGTCATAGGTATTGATGCCAAATCAAAGGTAAACCCTGTCGTTTTATATTTATGCTTATCGTTTTCTACAAGCTTAACCACAGAAGGGGGTCCGCAGACTAAACTACAAGACCCCTCCCCAAGCATTACACAACTGTCATTGGCAAGGGACTTGCGTGGAAAAGACCAGGCCAGAACACCAGAGCGCCGGTAAGCTGTTGTCCCAGAATCCACACCCATAACTTCCAGGATTTGACTTTGTGGCCCTCCGCTAGAATCTCCTGGGAAGCCTTGAGCCTCCCGGCAAGCTGGAAGGACCTGTGCACATCCATGGACTCAGCAACTTGCTGCAATTTTGCCGGCCACCCGCTTTTTGAGCCGACTTGTCTGCAGGAGTGAACGAGGGGAGCGAATTGTCTGGTCAGCGTGTATAGAGGGCCTGCTGTTACTGCTGCATTCTTGCGGCACGAAGACTCCGGAGGCGCTATTGTAGGGGCCTAAATAATTACCAATACTATTTTGGGGGTTCCTTATTATCATTATATAGTAAAATGAGAACCAAAACCCTATTCCAATGATTACGGCCCCTATATTACCCAGCATGTGTGAGTAGACTTGTACACCTCCCCTGAGTGCGGAAACTGCGACGGGTTGGCATCACCACTGCTCAGGGTTTTGGCAAGACCGTCTGTCGGCTCTCTGTCCATGCAGGCTATGGGATGCAGGCCAACCCTTAACTCCTGCAGGCACATTGTATCAGCCACCTTGATTGAATCAGATCCTGAAAAACGGAATCTATAGTTGCTCGACTCTAAGCTTCGTGGTTCGCAAAAAGGAGCTCACGAACAACAACTAACACTGATACCTGCACATGGGCGTGTGAAACGTGAGCACGTTATGCACGCACGTCTGCGTCTGTGCATGCTTTCCCCTGAAAGCATGTGTGTGTTTTTTTGTGTTTTTTGTTTTTGTGTGTGTGTGTTGTTTTCTTCACAACCGAGTTCTGAGGTCTAAGCTAGTCCAAACCCTCCAACTCCAAGACGAATGCCCTGTTGCAGCAAATCTACCCTGAATGGTAGACCAGACAGAATTCAAACTGCCGCGGCCTCGATTTCGGTGAGCTGGTGTTGCAGGGCTTCGATGTCCTGATGCAGCGACCAGCTTTGGCTCGCAGTGAGAAACATGAAGCCGTCAAGGTAAGTGCAGACTTTGATTTGTCGCTCACTCACTCTTTCTCTTTCTCTCTCTCTCTCTCTCTGTGTCTCTCGCTCGCTCCCTCTCTCTCTCTCTGTCGCTCGCTCCCTCTCTCTCTCTCTCTGTGCCTCTCTCTCTCTCTCTCGCTCTCTCTCTCTTTCTCTCAGAGCTGTATATGACACACACACACACGCAAGCATGAGTGTGTCTGCAGATTATCCATGTACTCTCTCTGTCACTCTACATCTATGTATGTATGTGTATGTATATGTATGTGTATATACATATACATAGATATATGCATGCGTCTATATCTATATTATACCCACAAAGAAAATGGATCGAGAGAGTAATGTAGGCAATGCAGAATTTATGCAAGTACAGTATCAAACGGTAAGATATGACACAACGAAAGATAAAGCGAGAGCGAGAGAGAGAGAGAGAGAGAGAGAGAGCGAGAGATAGAGAAGTACCTGTGTATATATATATATACAGATAGATAGATAGATAGATAGATAGATAGGTATATGCATAGATAGAGAGAGGGACAGAGGGACAACACGACGGAGGATGATTCAGGTCTTGAGCCCTGCAAACCCTCGCTAATCCTCCCTCAAATCCCCAGTCCGTAAACACTGTGAACCTTTCAAGCCCAATCACTTTTGAGTTTGGAACACCATTATCCTGATGCCGATGTGGTATCAGCAGAAGGGAAGCATGACTACGTAGCTATGCTCAAAAAGTGCCGTGTTCATTGTAAGCCTCAAGTCTCTCCCTAACACCCCAAAATATCACAGCACTAACCTGGAGCCCCCTACAATCTGAATCTCTGAATCCTCAAAATCCACGGAAAATCTAAACCACCCAAAGCCTTCTGCCTAAAACCCCCTAGAGAAAGTAGCCTAAACCGAAAATCCTCAAACCCCAAACTACGTCCCTACTGTAGCAGGAATCCTGCAAAACCGAAAAAGTCAGGGCAGCTAGGGTTTAGGAATTGGGGTTTAGCCCGAAACCCCTACACCCTAAACCCGAAACCCCGTGCTTGCGGCTTAAGGCTTTGAGGTGTTTAGGGTTTAGGGTTTAGGGTTTACGGTTTAGGGTTTGGGATTCTGAGCTTGGGCTTAGGGTTGCCGTGAGAGCCTGCTGGGACTCTGCGGCCTCCTCGTCTTCCTCGCTGGGCTCCTGGAGGTTTAGGGTTTAGGGGTTTGGGGGTTCAGGGGTTTAGGGTTTAGGGTTTAGGGGTTTAGGGTTTAAGGGTTTAGGGTTTAGGGGTGTAGGGTTGAGGGCTTAGGGCCTGGAGGGTGAGGTCTTGTCTTGGGTTGCTTGGGGCGTGGGGCTGGGGGCTTTGAGGGTTGAGGGTTTCAGGCTTAGTGCTGGGTTTATCGGGTCTAGCGACTTCCTGTTGCTGCGTGTTTAAAGGTTGTAGGGTTGGTTGTCGAAGGGCTACTTACTGGTTGATAAACCCTTCAGAATACATGTTAATACATATATATATATATGTGTTGTTAATGTCTATACATATATTAAACTATTGAGCGCATATCACATCAAGTGCTTTGGGGGTTCTAAGTACTATGGGGTTCATCCTTGTCATCGTCATAGGCTCACGTTTAGGAGTGAGGAACGCAAACCACCTAAACCCCACACTACTATATATGTAAGTAGTAGTAGTAGTAGTAGTAGTAGTAGTAGTAATAGTAGTCCCAGTAGTAGTAGTCCCAGTAGTAGTAGTCCCAGTAGTAGTAGTAGTAGTAGTAGTAGTAGTCGTCGTGATGGTGGTGGTGGTGGT